CTCAACGTTTAGTCTTCACGGCATCACAATAACAAACATCGCAACAGAGCATAGAGTCCGCAAAAGGGCTGGAACTATTTACTACCAACGCATCATGTTTGGCTTCCTTTTCTCAGCGGGCCTGAGTGAGCAGAGGTCAGCTTTAACCACGCTGCTCCTCCCTGGTGTTTCACAAACTTTTTTTGAAGCAAGAAGCACCACAAAAAAAATGTCCAGAAGTGGCCCAGAAGAGAATAGGAGCTCAGGGCAGAGCGAAAGACTGCTAACATCTAACCCTCAATTTGACTCTGAATACATTTATATTAGTGGTTCTAAATGTTGATAGAAGCAGAAGACAGAAAATGAAGTAAAATTGCAGGTTTGATGGCAAAGTTTGCTACTGCTGAAGCAAAAGTATTCACAACCTTAGAGATTTTACGCATTTTATTGCATTAAAATGACCGAAAGAACAAGATCCCGGATGCAAGCGGCTGAAATAAGCTTTCTCCACAGGGTGGCTGGGCTCTCCCTTAGAGATAGGGTGAGGAGCTCGGTCATTCGGGAGAGGCTCAGCGTAGAGCCGGTTCTCCTCCACATCGAGAGGAGTCAGTTTCGGATGCCCCCTGGATGCCTCCCTCGAGAGGTGTTCCAGGCACGTCCCACCGGGAGGAGGCCCAGGGGACGACCCAGGACATGCTGGGGAGACTATGGCCCTGTCCACACAAAGTCAAAACGAACACGAAACGCTAATATTTTCCAGCAGGTTTGTCGTAAAGACGGAGACGTAAAATAACTGTGATCGACCACATGAATGCATGAAAACGCTGCAAAATGTATGCCAGGCCTGTAAGTGGCGCTGTGGTGCCAAAGCAAAAATAGGCGAAAACAGGCAACGAAATGTTGGGCATGCGCAGTAATATTTATCCATTTTTGTGGTTCAGTCAAATTCAGGTGCTGAACTATGTCGTGGATATTGCTCTGTTCTTCCTGGAGATATTCCAGAAGAAGAAGATTCTGTTGTAAGCCCGACAGCAGGGCGAGTAGCATGAGCAGCAACCATTCAACACAGTACGGCGCCATTGTTGTTGTGATACTGTGTCGCGCATGCGTGTTTAGAGGCGACGCTATGACGCATGCGTGTAAGAAAAAAAATGCGGTTAGAGCTTAAAGATGGAAACGCGAAAACGGCGTTTCAAACTCTTTCCACTCTGAAGGCTTAAATAAAAAAAGATCGTTTACAGACCCCCGAAACGCCGGCTTCGTATGGATGAGAGGCTGGTTTGGTGAAAAATTTGTGCGTTTAGGCCAGGGTTTGACTTCGTGTGGACGGGGCCTAAACCTTCATCTTATTCGAAATGACTTGAAATATAGATCTATACTGATTTTTTTTTCCATCCAATGGGACCAAACTAATAGTTTAGGCTCTAGGTGGGCGAAACTGCTAGAGATGTATAGCTTTTAAGAATATAACATTTCTAAAGAAAGGGCAAATGTGTAGTAAACCCTTTCTGTTAGATAGTTCAATTAAAAAGAATTAATATCAAGTTTTAGGAAGCATGAACAATTTAAAAAGAGTTTTTTGGTAATTCTTGGTTGGGATACTTTTAAGCAAAGCTAATTTCCACCATGGTTACTGTTTACTGCTTAGTTACTGTGTAACAAACAAGATATAACAGTTTTTTTTCTTTTCTTTTTTAAGTGGAGTAGCTAGCTTTTAGAGGGGTCTTAGACAAAATGTGGTGGGGTAAACGCCTAAAGAGGGTGATTATCTCCCCCACTACGCTCTCTAAGGGCCTGGATCTCTCCCTGATGCGGGAAACATGTGTGACAGCCTGCAGTCCTGCACATTCATCACTTCCTTCCCCACGGTAACATGCATCGTAGCAGCTAGCACTAGCCATAAGCTGCATGTCAGAAATGAACATACAGCTTTCATGAGAACCAGAGGAGAGGAGAGGAGAATCCTGGGTGTGGCTCTCAGTGGGGAGTGATTGGCCCCATAAATCATCTGGGATGATGCAGCAGCTGTTCCCTAGGGGCGCTGGGGATCCCAATCCATTCAGCTCATGGCTACTGGCTCCGAATCTCCACCCCCCCACTGTCCTACATTTACCCTCCCCCTCAATTAGCCTCCCTCCTCTCCTTCCTGAGCTCCCATATCTCCTTCTGACATCTTCTCCTTCTCTGTCTGTCCTCGCCTCTCTTCCTGCCCCCCATTTCCTTGATTAAACTGCGCACCAGTGCGGAGTCAGCCGGATTTATTAGGCTTTCATCTTCCAGCTCACTCTTCAGATGAAACAGCAGGGAGGGGGAGGGTCGGTTGCTTGGTCCACTCTGTGGAAGTTGAGCAACATGCCAATCAACCCCTTTTAAGTTGTTTTGTTCAATTTCTTCCCATCCACAACTTACATCCGTCCCAATGTGGACGTATTCCTGCAGGGAGGGGTCCAATCTTCCAGCATGGCTCTCCCTGTGGGGGCTGTCAGCGCCTCATGTTGATTGGACCTCGCAGAAATCCCAACGCATCATGTGAGATCACTTGTTGAAGCCCCTTTCATATGACCAGGCACATTATAGGCGCAGCAACAGCCTGTTGCTTCTATTTAACTCAATGGAGACGATACTAAAGTGTTCAGAGGCAAAACGTCCCAACTTTTACACTGAAAAATATATGCAACCGCTTTTGGCATTTACTTAATCATATTTAGTCACTTAAACACCATTGTTCTATGTCCTACCCTGCTAACATGAAACAATTATGTTAAAGTATCTAAATATGATTAAATAAATGTCAAATGCATTGTTTTTTCAATGCAGAGCCATGATCCGAGAAACAAAACAGTCTAAAACCGTTTATGTGTTTCAGATTGATATTCAAAACTTTTATAGAACTCAAAATATCGAAAATCTGGTTTAAAGTTTATTGCCAACATTTCAAAGTAGGGGAGAATCTACGTAAAAAGAAAAAGAAATCCAAAGTGATGGAGGAGCAAAAAGAAGGATAAATGTTGATCAAATCATATATAAATGAACAGATAGAGGATAAAATCTGTGAATATAGACAGGTTAATATAAATAACATTACAAGCTGTGTTATTTTTCTTCCATATCCTATCTTGAAATGGAATATAGTTACATCATTCCTAATAACTCAGCTGTATTCCTGGTTCTCTCCCCAGATTAACCAGCACTCTGATCTAAACCACTAGGGAAGAGGATTAGGGCCACTGAAAAAAAAAACAGTTAACTTTAAATTTTATTTTTGTTTAATATGAGAAAAACGTCAGAATTCTGACTTTTTTCTGGGAATTTCTGACTTTAATTTCAGAATTTTGACCTTTTTCTCAGAATTCTGACTTTAATCTCATAATTCTGACTTTAATCTCAGAATTCTGACCTTTTTCTCAGAATTACTGACTTTAATCTCGGAATTCTGACTTTAATCTCAGAATTTTGACCTTTTTCTCAGAATTACTGACTTTAATCTCGGAATTCTGACTTTAATCTCAGAATTTCTGACTTTAATCTCATAATTCTGACTTTAATCTCGGAATTCTGACCTTTTTCTCAGAATTACTGACTTTAATCTCAGAATTCTGACCTTTTTCTCAGAATTACTGACTTTAATCTCGGAATTCTGACTTTAATCTCAGAATTTTGACCTTTTTCTCAGAATTCTGACTTTAATCTCAGAATTCTGACTTTAATCTTGGAATTCTGCCTTTTTCCACATAATTTATGACTTTAGTCTCAGAATTCTGACTTTTTTCTTAGAATTTCTGTCTAATCTCGGAATTCTGACTTTAATCTCAGAATTTCTGACTTTAATCTCATAATTCTGACTTTAATCTCGGAATTCTGACCTTTTTCTCAGAATTACTGACTTTAATCTCGGAATTCTGACTTTAATCTCAGAATTTTGACCTTTTTCTCAGAATTCTGACTTTAGTCTCAGAATTCTGACTTTTTCCTTAGAATTTTTTGTCTAATCTTGGAATTCTGACTTTAATCTTAATCTCTGAATTCTGACTTTAATCTCAGAATTTTGACCTTTTTCTCAGAATTTCTGACTTTAATCTCGGAATTCTGACTTTAATCTCAGAATTTCTGACTTTAATCTCAGAATTCTGACTATAATCTTGGAATTCTGACTTTTTCCACAGAATTTCTGACTTTAATCTCGGAATTCTGACTTTAATCTCGGAATTCTGACTTTAATCTTGGAATTCTGACTTTAATCTTGGAATTCTGCCTTTTTCTACAGAATTTCTTACTTTAATCTCAGAATTCTGACTTTAATCTCAGAATTCTGACTTTAATCTTGGAATTCTGCCTTTTTCCACAGAATTTCTGACTTTAATCTCAGAATTCTGACTTTTTCCACAGAATTTCTGACTTTAATCTCGGAATTCTGACTTTAATCTCGGAATTCTGACTTTTTCCACAGAATTTCTGACTTTAATCTCGGAATTCTGACTTTAATCTCGGAATTCTGACTTTAATCTTGGAATTCTGACTTTAATCTTGGAATTCTGCCTTTTTCTACAGAATTTCTTACTTTAATCTCAGAATTCTGACTTTAATCTCAGAATTCTGACTTTAATCTTGGAATTCTGCCTTTTTCCACAGAATTTCTGACTTTAATCTCAGAATTCTGACTTTTTCCTAAGAATTTCTGACTTTAATCTCGGAATTCTGACTTTAATCTCAGAATTCTGACTTTTTCCTAAGAATTTCTGACTTTAATCTCGGAATTCTGACTTTAATCTCGGAATTCTGACTTTAATCTCGGAATTCTGACTTTTTTTCCCATATTAAACAGAAATAAAATGTAAAAATCATTTAACTTTAGTTTTTTTTTCCAGTGGCCCTGATCTTCTTCCATAAAGCCACAGTCTGTGGCTCTAATTACACTGAGCCCATTAAATCTAATGGGGAGGTGTTAGTAATGTGTCCTTTGAGGGACTTCATTAAAACAGGAGGTAAAAGAAAGGAAAACTAATCCAGCTTGTTGTTCTCACCGCTGTGCTGTTATATCCGAGGCGACATACAGGAGCTCCCTGAGATGTCCCACTACACAGAAGCTCTGAGAGCAGCGACTGTCTGCCCTGCTGGCACCGGCGGACGCCTTCTCCTCTGAGGACTCAAATCCTTCTCCAAACCTTCATTCAACGGAATTCCACTGGGAAAAGGGAAACGGTCAATTCTTTAATGGATAAAGCCGAAAGAGGGGACAAAAAACTCAAAAAGACAACTGTATCCCCGCGGCACAGGAGCGCGTCCTCTCCCCTCGGACTAAATTAGGATAAAAGCGCAGCGCGGACAGACGCACCAGAGCGGTCCGTTAGAAAAGGCGCTTCCGTCTGTTCCCTTCAAAATAAAAGACAACTTTCACGCCACTTGACACCAGTCAGCCAACTTTTTAATTTTCTATTTTTAAAAGTGCTTAATTACCCTGCTAACATGAATTTTGTTTAAAGAAATAATGTAAGGATGAAAGACCTAAACGTATCCGAGTTTTATTAAAAAAATAAACATTTATGTTTACCTTTAACCCGCTGGCGACCGAAATAAGAATAGGTATGTTTTAGGGCAAGGCCATTAATGAACTTTATTGATAAATTTTTTATTTATGAAGATTTATTTTTTGAGCAGACTGACTAATACCACTAGCAGCAAACATTTAGTGTTATAGTTTCAGTGTTTATTTGTGAAACTTGATTGATTTACAGCCTTTTTCAAATTTAATTTAATTAATTGACCTTTCAATTAAGGTCACCTCCCAGATTGGAGGACTGATATCTGTGCACAATTTTATTTTATAAATTTTTTTGACATATTATTGTATGTTTTATTTTTTTATTATTATGATTATGAGAAAAAAAATCAATTAATCAGAGAAAACATTTTTTTTGCTCATATCACCCTGCCCTGTTATGTTCGTATATATATCAAGGATGTCCCAATACATTTCGGACCAAACATGATATCAGCACAAATCATACGTATTTTTATAATTTTTTTTAGAATTGCATATAAAAAAAAAGAATAGACTCACTTCATCAAAAAAGACTGAAGAAGTGATATTACTCAAAAAGAACTGTAGTTATGAACAGTCAGCATGGAAATCACCCACAAATGTATTATTGACCATAAAAATAATATAAAATATATATAAATTATAAATAATATATAAATTTATATAAAAAAAAATATAAATTATAAAAACCTTAAACAGAAACAACTAAAAGAGAATTGATTCTATCAGTTTGCTTACATTCCAGGCTGATTGCTTTCAATATTTGTTTTTTGGCTGAATTGGAATGATATTAGATTAGGACTCCATCATAATTCCTTTATTAATATCATAAGGCATCAATTAATCTATAACTGTTAATTGATTTTTAAATACTCAGTAAGCCAATTATATTTTGTTGTTTTTGGCATTATTAAGTCATATAAAGGGACACTAGAATAAAAGTATCCAATGTTATTCATAAACGCCCTTTTTGTTTGCTAATTAAAGTTCATCTCTCTGAGGCTAAATTCATGTTTATAAAAAAAATCTGATGCATTTCTGTGAGCAGGACAAAAGGGATCCCTGCAAAGCTATTTATTGAGGGTGTTTCTATATTTATATGTAATCTACATATAAAACTTAATATGTATCAAATCTATAATGTATTATCACACAACATTGAAGGAAAAAATTATCTGGTAATAAATGTCTCAAATCACAGAGCTTTTAAATTATATACAGTGTAGGGTTTGTTGATGTTTGTTATTCCACTAACTTTACTTTTATTTTGAAGGCTGATCCTGGTTTTGTCATTTTGTCTTAGCTGACTATGAAGACCTCCTCTGCCTACGTCATTGCCAGACAGACCCCTCTGAAGAAGATGCCTATTTATACAGATGCATCTCATGCCTACGTAATGCTGTTTTAGAAAATATGTCCAAATTAGGGTGTGCCATCATCATCATCCTCCTCATCATCAAAGAAAACACTTGCAAGTCTTATCTCTAAAATACATGTTACGCTTATTTGTGAAATAAAATCTTATCCTATCTGAAGTTTTCTCACCATTATAAACAGCAAGGCTCTCTTGGATCAGCGTCAAGTGTAGATAATTACAAGAGGGAGTTATTTAGAGTGGTTAGTTGTTAACTATTGCCTCTGCTCTGGAGACATGGAGGAAAAATGTAAGAGAAAACAAACTATTATAGGTCCGGAAGCTTCTTGAATCCTGTTTAGTCTCAAGGGAGAATTTAGAGGGGAATGCAAGGCCTTCTGTTCCCCTCTTCTTAACCTGACACCCATTGGCAGGGATAAGACAGATACATGGAAACTCACTTTATATACAACAAACAAACACACACAGATTTACATATAGGATATATAAATATATAAAAAGCATATTTTGCTTTAAGCTGGATCTTCCCAGAGAAACTAAACTGGCCATATGACAAAGCAGGATGAGACATGAATACCACTGAATCAGCTCCTGAGATTAGCACAGTGATGCAGGACCGGGGCTCACATCCTACAGAGAGATACAATAAGCAAAAACAAATATTCTGTTTGACTAAGCAACAGGAAATGGTCAGTGATGAAGATAAAGAGAGTCTAAAAAGCCAGACTTCCACCACAGACATGCAAATATTTGGACACATCCTGCTAGAAAAGTTATAGAACTAAGCAGAAACTTGATTATAGTAGAGGAATTCTCCATCATCTGGGTTTACTGTCTTATCTTGCCTCAAGTTTAAAAGCTGTGGGTTCTCAAATGCTTATAAAAAAAAAAAAAAAAAAGAATGTCCTCCTGGACTAAAATAAAACCCAGAAGGAAGGCATGGTTTCTTAGTATATCAAGCTGTATTATCTTATCAGTATAATAGATATAGATAAAACCTCGACAAAGGTTCAGATAATTGTATATACCCTATAAGATCTTAGGTCTGGCATAGTAAGACAAAGCATTAACCTGAACGTCCTATAACTCTGACGCCCCCTTGTGTTGGCATGCAGGTACAGCAAGGTGACTGAAAAACAAAAAAAAACAGCAGCATCAGTTTTTTCATCCTTTTTTCATTTTTATTTTTCCTAGCTATAGCCAAAACAACATAATCAATAAAACTACAGAATTAGAGGATCCATGTCTTGCTTTCCTAACTGTGAGAACATGATGTTAGGGGGATGTTTGGGAAAGATTCCTCAAAAGGCAATCATTTGCTGTATTCTGTCAAGCTTAAATGATATTTAAGGCTAGCCCTACCCTATTCTTTGGACAGTTTTAATCTGCTTAATTGTTTTGTACATCAATGCCTTCATTTGTGCAGTATTTACCTGCTCTGTAAATATGTTCTACATTCGTTCTGTTGTTTGCAGTATTTCAATTCTATGCAATGGCTGCTGATGTTAAACATTTATTATTTAATCAGGGTAAACCATTATCATATTAACTGCTCAGTATATATTATTTTTTTTCCGGTGAATGTTTTTCCTTTGCTGTACAGTCTGTCTTCTGTTGTTTAATGCTTTCATTTGCCTATTTACTTTGCCACTAACACTGCATGAAAAGTGAGATTTTCGTCCCCGTAAACCCCCGTAAACTCCCGCAGATCTGCCTGATTTTCGTCAGTTTCCGACAATTTGCAACCCGTGCTTGTCCGCGTTTGTCGTGCCACAAATTGTCGGAAACGTACCGTGACGTATGTGGAGAGCGATCAGCTGTACTAATGGCCCTAATTAGCATATGAATGCAGCAAACCCGCGCGGCTGGCCAGGTCTGGCTTGAATAACCTACTCAGTATTGGCTGAAACCACTATTCTCAAACAAGTGAAATCGCTCGTGATTGGCAGCAAAACCACAGGTGGCCACGCCAGGCTTTAATTTTCTTACTGAGTATTGGACGGAACCGCTTCTTTTTAAACAAGTAAAGTCGCTCGTGATTGGTTGGCATATATATATATTTACATATATATATTTATTCATTCATATATATAGGCTATATTCATATATTTATTCATTCATATGCTGTGTATTTATGTTATCCTACACTACTACACAATTATTATGCTACCATCAAGGACATGAATGAATTTATACAGGAAATGAAGATTTGCCAGGAAGCTGTTTATGCAAAGAAAGAGCTTTATTAAAACACACACACAACTATATACAACGCGTATCCAAACACATGCGTATCTAAAAATTACAACTCCGTGAACGGTCCGTTTGCTTCCTCGGGGTTGGAGGTAACAGGCAGCATTCCCTCCGAGGCAGGTCCGATGTGCAGACGCCTACTGTGCGTGGCCCTGTACTTCGGCATCGCTTCTAATCGGGACTGCAGCTTAACACAGAGTTCAGTGAGATCCGGCCTACGAAATGGCGGCGACCGTACAATCCATCCAGAGACACCGCCGACGACGCCATCTTCTTCGTCGGACATGAGGTCGACGGTGGCGGACTTCCAGAGTTCCACTTCCTCATCTGCCAGCACACTCTGCCTCGCCTTCAGCAGCTGAAAAAAAAACAATGAATCAGCGCACTGCATATGGACACAACACATCTATCAATGCACCTGAAAAATAGTCACCAAATAAAGTCTTACCCTCTTTCTTCTGGCCCGACTCCGAGCAGATAGCCTGGCAGCCTCCGCACGCAGCGTGCTGGCTAGCAGCGTGTATCTGAAGCTCCTGCATACCGTCTCATAATACGTCTTACAGGCAGCTGGAAAACAATTAAATGAGAGTGGTATGAATAAAAAAATAAAAAAAATCAAACGCAAGTCACAGTAACAAGGAAGGAGAAAACATTAAAACGAGTCACTTACACACAATGTCGTCTTTATCAACATCGTGCAAATCCGAGCAAATAGGAGGTCACCGCCTCATTGTGAGGCGACTGTAGTCTGAAAAAAAAAGTACAGCTATGGTCGGTATTTATCCGTATCCATGTCCTTTTACCGCAGAATGAAAGCATATTCTTTAAACCTTACCCCTGCTCCGGTTCATAGCGCCTGCAATTAGTCTCCAAGTTGTTAAGACGGCGTATTGCTTCCTGTGAATCACAAAAAATACACTTTAATAAAGCTTTAGGCTAGGCTGCTTTTAGCTTACCTAGCTAGGCTAGGTTGTCTTTAGCTTGCCTAGCTAAGCTAGGCTGCTTTTAGCATAGCTACCAGTAATCGAACATATATTTACCGCTAGCGTGGCATTGTGCACCCGTCTTCTCTTCCTCGAGTTCGTATATCCCGCAAAGTTGCTCGACTGGTGGCCAGATGTCCGGCTTTAGGGCGAACAGTCCGGATTT